CTGACACCCAGGCAGAGAGGAGCAAGAAGCCATCTGGCTCAAATGCAGAGGAGATGGAAGCCTAACTGAGATAATGTGATGATGATGATGAGCACCATGGGGGGTGGGGGGAAAGGAGGAAATACATAGCTGTTTCCAGAGTTGGCAACAGCTATGAACAATATGTAGTGGGTAAGGGATGAGGCTCCATATTGAATACTGATGAGAAAATAGAATAGTGGATAACTGCACCTTCAATAAGTATTGTCCCTTCTGTGCACAGTGGCCTTACGGGGAAAAAATGTGACCATGTTGTAGCATAGTTGCCCCAGTAACCTTAATTGTGGCAGTTCATACCTATTGTGTGTGTCCTCGTTGTTCCAGACCTGTGTTGTCATGGGTGTGTGGGTTGATGAATCTGTCGTCTGAAACCAAATAAAATAGCGCCTCTTATTCATTCCTGTATCTTCCCTGAGGCAACAGGCAAACAGTTAGGGTGCGTCCTAGTATTTCAACTCTGATTCACAGTGAAAGAAAGTTCTCCAGAATAATAGCCCTTGGGGATGCTGACATTCAGTTTTGTGGAGGAGAAAACTCTGAACACCCTGTTGAGTTCTGCTTTCCATTCCTTGGCTGTCTCAAAGTCAGGATTATGTGCTCACACATGAATAGGTCTTGATTTAACAAAGCACTTAACCAACTGCTTGAGCTCTGTATTGATCTGAGTCAAAATTTATGCTGATAGTCCTGCATATGGGAAACTCCCAGTTTCTAATCTTAGTTGTGATGCTAAGTGTTCACAAGGCGCTCTGTGGACTGCTGAATATTTGACTCAGTTGACCTATTAGTAAAAGAAAAAAGAAGAATATTTATGATAGATACTGTAGCTCTCAGGGGCTATTGGAGGGTAAATTGTTTAATGTGCATACAAGCAGTTTAAATTGAAGATGGCTGTATTACTCTCTCTTGGGTGTAACTCAGCTCTTTCAACAAAACAAAATAAATGTATACCATAAAAGTCTTTAGTGATTTAAATGTATTTATTTAAACACTTTAATGTTGCACACATCTGGGATCTGTACTATTTTGTTTTTATGCAGACTTCCTCTGTTGTTACTTAGACAGTGCATTATCTATTCCTCTGTTCAGATAGTACAATTTCTTGCATATGCATTTAAAAAAAGGTGGGGGGCCCACAAAAGCTGAGAAATGAGTGGGATGTTTAATACAGCTTTTGAACCGTTTATGTCATTGGAATAGTGACCTTTAATTCATCTTACAGTATCTCTTAGGTTTAAAAATATGTATCATATTATCTACTTAATTGCTAGCATGCAGCCAGTACTTGGTATTATTTATGATATTTTTGTTAACAGAGAGGTTATTCATTCTAAAAGGTTACATTTCGTGTTAGCTCCCACTGTTACTAGTTAGCCGATTCTTCCCCTGACCTGTTCATAGTACCATAAACTGGTACTGCTTATAAGGTCAGATTTTGCTTTGTCCATCTCACATCCTGTATTGCCTTAAGGGGAAGAGCTTTAGGTCTCAGAAAACTGTGATTCGCTCCCTCTCCTTCTGTTGACCTGATAAAAGGTAGACTCATTAGATTAATTCTTTGGTGCTCTGGCTCAATGAAACACTAATCATTATCTTTATCAAGATCTAGTTTTTTAATGCCAGAAGTAGTTTTAATTATTGTTTTCTTTAGCTGTGGTTCAGATTGCTCTCGCTCTGTCGAACCCAACTCCAGTTGTGTGTTTGTGAGTTGACTTCAAAAGGAGCTGAATTGGAAATTTAGTATTTCAGTAATTCCCTCTGTCAATTTTATCCCACTGCACTTACTTGAATGGCTACATCCCCTGAAGCATGTGTGTTGAGATATGTGCACAAAAACATTATAAGCACTTGGAGGGAAGAAAGGGCCCTTTGAAGGAATTGGTTGATGCACAGAATGTTTTGACATGGCAAAAGATCTATTGAAATAAATCCAGTGGCAGATTACTGTCCTCAGTAGAGGACTCCCTGCTGTTGAACACACGCTGTGTATGATCTTTGTCAATAGATGAAGTATTAGGAGTGTGCATGTTTATGAAAACAACTGTTGTTTGTACAGATAGGAAAGTAATCCTTGAAATTTACTTGGACCTGCTTGGCAAAGTAAGAGTTGGCTATCAGCAGATGAAAACAGTGAGATCTCTCTTGAGCTCTGCCATCACCACTGGTCAGTAACAGAAATTCCTACTGAGGGTTTTGGATGCCAAGAATGATTAAAAATGGCTACAGGGAAAAGGAAATGGTCCATTTAGAAAAAGGGGCAGAAAGAAAGCAACTGCTAAGCTACGTGCTTCATTTTTCAGGTGTCAAAGCAAGCCAAAGAGTTCCTGGAGTATGTGTACGAGGAGCCATTGATTGACATCCAGCAAGAAAATCCCATGTTGTACAAGCATGTTGAGCCACTGGCAACTGTAGTCCGACTGAGACAGCAGCTGAAATCTCTCAGAGCCTATTTGTTCAGCTGCAGAGCAGCAGTGGCCGAAGACCTGCGTAGGAGGTAAGAACCAAGGACACCATGCAGCACAAGAATCCTGTTTTCTTGTCTCCACATGTTCAACCTTTGCCTCCCCTCCTTAGTTCCCATGATTCTGTTCTTAAGGTATTGCCAGCTGTGAAAGGTGGCTGCACTGTAGTTTTCAGCAGAGGCTTCCCTATACATCTGGGAGCAGTTGTCTACTGCCATAGGAAAAGCCTATGGCAGTGATTTGTATAAGCTGATTAAGTTTTTATTGCATAAGTTTGTTTATTGCTGCTGCTCCTAGAGAGTCTGAATCAGAAAATACATAGTTATCTGAAGACATCCCTACAAGAATGAAAATTGCATAGTTTGGGTGCTGTCTGTTTTCCTTCTCCTGTTCTTTTCCCCTCAACATAAAATGGCTACACCACAATCCTTTTATCAAAGAAACTCCATTTGAAAACTGTGCATCTTAGTCCACTGTAGCTGTTGATGACTTTCTCAAACCAACTATAAACAGCTGCTCCTCTTAAATAGCAGTAACTTAATCTTTTAAAAGTTAAGTTGCTTTTTACCTTGGATCTGCTAAGAACTGAGGTAGAAGTTGCTCTTCAGTTCCCCTATTTCTCTTCTGTGAGCTGAGTGCATTCAAGCAAACACAGCTGACTTTTAGGAGCACATGCCTCTTAAGCATGTGTACCATTCAGATTTGCTAGCAAGAAAAATCTCTGTCACTTTTAGTTAGAAAAGGTACTACTTTGGAACGTTCAAATTTCAGAGAGCAAGAATGCCATTTAAAGGACTGTCCACTCCCTGTATTTTGAGTGTGCATTTTAGAGAGGCAGTGGTGAGCTTAATTCTTTGAGGGGAAGGCGGGGGTCTGGATTGGCTGCTTCATCCCAGCAGTAGGAGAAAGGTGATGTTTGCTATTCAAGAGAGAACTTATGTCATCTCCTTGAATAGTTGCTGCAGGTACAGCTAAGTCAGGATGGCTATGGTGGCAAGGTTCTGAAAAGCAATAGTGAAGCTCTGTGTATTAAACCCACAGGGTATTAATATATGTGAGTGTTGGAACAGAGCAGTGATGCACACATTTCTTATAAAACTTTAAGGGACGCACATACAGCACTTTCAAACTTTTCTATCTCTTCAGTGGACTGTATTATCCTTCTAGAGATTCTTCTTTATGCAGTTATAACAACTCTTTTATTTTATTCCTTTCATAGAAAATAAAACCAAAAGAAAAGTAGTTATAGAGGTTGCCATTCAGAAAAGTGGCTGAAAAGAAATTATGGCTTTTGGTTAATACCGGAGAAAAGAATGCTCTGATTAAAAAAGAGAAGAGGAGGCAGCAAAGACTGAAGGAAGTCAATGAAGAGAGTGAAAGAAAAGAGATCAAAGGAGAATTGAACAGAGAGAGGCAGTGGGGCAAAGGGGAAAGAGCAGAGACTGCAGGAGATACTGAGATCCAGAGATGCTGAGAAAAGGTCCCCAGGAAGTAAAGAGGCCTATAAGGATTGAGAACAAAGGAAAAACCTGACAGAATGAGAATAAAGAGAACCTACCTAGGGGCCAAAAGGGGAACATTGCAGAAAAAGAGGAGGCTGAGACGGGTAGCATGGAATTAGGCAGCAAATATGGGAAAGGTGTCAGGCTTTAGAAGAAAAGAGAGGACAAAAGAATGTCGTAGAACTATTATAGCTGTAAGTAATCAAAGGGTATGGACAGCTGAAACATTTATAACAAATTAAAAAGGAGCGGGGACTTGCTACCCATGAACACACGTGTTTTGTAACTGTTTCCCATGCCTACACCATCCTGTGGTGGAAGTAGAAGCTAAAACGCAATAATTTAACATCTTCATTCTGGGATAAACTCACTGTGGCTTAGCTTCCACTTACTGTGGGTTAAGAACCAACACATGAAACAATTGCTGTATGTGAAGCTAATCCACTATGAGTTCCTGTGCTCTTTTTTTTTAATTTAGTATGTTTGTCTTGACATACCCCAAATAAGTAAATTGTAAGCAACGTTCCAATTGGTTAAATAGAAGAGGAAGAAGGACAGTAGATAGGATATATCTCCTTTCTAGTCCATGCGCATCTGCTACTTTTGTACCAAGGTGCATCTGAAGGTTCTTTTTTTTTATCTCCCCCTATAAATGGCCCAGAAGCTTTGGGATTAAAGCAAAGATGGCACTGAAGAGCTGCTAATGGATACTCTGTTTTCTTAACATTCCTGACCATGTAAACCCAAGCTATGCTTGGTCTTGTATTTGCTCTTTATCTTGAGGAATGTGTGTCCAGTGTGGTAGGAAAATGAGACAGATAAAAAAACCTTTCTAAAGCCCAAAGGGTAGTTAGCTGGATAATTATAACTTATGCTATTGAAAATCTCCACCAGAGTAGAGTGATTTTTGGCATCTTTCTGGTCACTGGCAACCACCTCTAAGAGCCATGACACAGAAGAAAGCCATACCCCTCCCCTGAAGGGGTTCCAATATCTTTGTTTAATAGGTAAAACCATACTGTGAAAACCTTGAATCTCAGCATAACACCTTTGCAAAGTAGATATTAAGAACAAAAAGCTCATCAAACGAACAAGTGACAAGAAAAACTGAAATTTAAACAGCAGCATAAGTTAGTGCTACTAAATTTAGTACTGTTTCCTAGTTAGAAATGTAAAGGATGGGGAAGGAATCCAGAATGCACTGTTATCTCTCTGTCCTAAAGGTATTCTTTTTCAGCTTGGTTTTCACCTTAATATATGAATGACTATTAATCACTAGCAAGTGAACACAGCATCTTGAAGGCCTGTCAACCCCATATAAACAAACTGAAATGAACTGTTAATATTGCTGTCCACAGGGAACTAAAAACAGACTGATTAATTGTGTTGGCACCTTGCTGCTTTTTGGGACACTGATAGCCTTCCTTATTTGGAAAAAGCAGATTGGCCTGCAGGGGTTTTTTATTAATATTATTTTCATGATCATCCTCTTTAAATCTATACCTTGCTCTTGAACCCAGATCACAAAACTAAGATGGCAATTAATTTGGGAGTTCTTGGTGTCCTTTAGGACGACTAAAATGTTTACAGTGCTTTACAAGTTGCTATTTCTGAAGAATACCAGATGGCTATAAACCAGGTTAGCTCAGGATCTAGTTGACTTAAATGTGGAAACATTATTTATAATGCTGATGTACATAGGCACTTTACAAACTTTGTTAAAACTTAGCACCCAGTAGAGAATTTGGGACTGATCCACTTTATAAACTTTAAAGAGGTGAGGACTGAAAAAATGTAAGAATAGCTTTAAAAAAAAAATCTCAAGAGCTAGTGACTAATGGTTCACCATATTAGAAGCCTGTAATACCTTGTAGTCCATAAGAGCTCCAGTTCAGTTGTTTATTTTGCTGGTCTATCATTGTCTGCATGAGTAATGACAATTTCTGGGTACTCATTCCATGCTGTTTTTAAATTTGGAAGGGAAGATCAAACAAAGAACAAGAAGTTTGGCTAGAGACCGTAGGGACATCCTCAACTGAGGTAAATCAGCATAGTTTAATTGAGCTTAAACCAGCAGAGGACCCATTATCAACCTCTCTGTTTCATGAGGAGTATTATTACAGCTAGTTTGCTGTAGCTGTCACCTCCAGATTACAAACAACTTAATTTGTCTTTCCAGTAACTGAACAGTTTACCTGCTTGCGGTTGTTTTAAACTGTTCAACTTTGTAAACTTTTAGGCTAAAATGCAGATCTTAGAGCTTAGCAGTTTTTAAATTCTCAGTTTTACATTCATAGTGTTAATCTAAACTCCAGACTAGAAGATGGAAGCGTTTAAGAGAGGAAGCCAATTTTTAAATTTCTGCAACAATAACCTTCCTAAATTAGAGAGGAAAACCAAAACAAAACATATTCCTTATGTTCTTACTCTGACCTTAGATCATACAGTGCTCAGAAGTGAGGAGGGAATGGGGGAAGGAAAATGCATGTAGGCATGCTTTGCTTTGCCTGTATCATTTGCTTCTTGGGGTAGGTAAAATAAAGAGAGGTTTGTGTTTACAATCTTTACCGAAGTCTGTGTGTCTGAAGAAATTAGTTGGCCATGCTCACAAGGTTGGAGTTTTGGGTGTGTAAGCACTAGTACTAAAAGGGCATTGGGCAGCTGTGCTGTGAAGTTCCTGTCTCAAGAACAGATGTGGAACTTGTGCCTAGGAAACGTACCAAAGAGGCCAAGAAAAAAAGACAGTGCTGGAGCTTACTTGGAACAAGGGAAGATCTTGATTATACAGACCCAGTGTGTGGGAACCTAAACGTAAAACTCAGATGAATGTTCTGCTGGGGAAGTTCCACCTGGCCTGTATGACAGTTTCCATTCAAAGAACCGATACCTTGAAAAGAAACTTCCATAAAATTCTGTTATTCAGAAGGCAACAAAATTATCTGGTTCACATAGCATCTATTAGTAATTAGGCCATGCCTGGGAAATGTAATCTGTACCTTCTGCCAAATAGATTAGTAATATTAGGCATCTAACCATGACTTAGCCTTGATTCTTCTTTTTAAGATAGATTGCTTTGGGAATACTCTATCTTGATTCCCAACTGCATTTCCATTAGCCATGAGTATCGTTTGAAATATTAGTTCTACCCATATTCACCCTAATGAGATCACTTTGGGGTCTGCTTGCAGCAAACATCAAGGTCTCATTGATCTTCATTTAATTTTAAGATAGTTAGAAGTCTAAACAGAAGAGAGGTGGTGCTATTAACTTGTAAATTGGAGCCATCTGTCCCAAAGTAATTCTCTGCGTTCTATACTTAATATCATTGACACTTAGTTTCCTATTTTGAGCTATGGTAATTAGTAAATTTCATACTGTTCTCATGATCTTCCTTGTACTAGCTACCTAGAAGTGGAGTTTATGACCTCCTGCACTTTAGAGTTTTTACCACTTTGAGTTCTGACTCAGGATTTCTGCTAAATGCTTGATCATTTTTTTTATTTATTTTTTATTCGTCTACTCTTGAATGT